CCAGGTAGATGTTTTTTCTGTCGTCTTCTTTCCTTTTTTTTTCTCTTTCTTCATGGTGCTTTGTAACGAACAAATGAAAAGTTGGGATGATTTCTTAGGTTTTACCTGCTGGTAGAGATTTAAAGTCCCTGGCAGGTAGCATAACGATAGTTTTGTACATGTTACGCCATGAACCCTACATGAAGCGTAACCCAAAAAGACCTTGGCTTGAGTTCACACATGGTGTGCATACGGAAAAGATGCTTTGAAAATACTGAAGAATGGAAAATGAAAGGTGGCTTCTATTCGTATTTTATATACGCAGGTAGACCACTTGGTGACGTTATTCATCATATTACGTACGTTGGATACAACACCACTATGCTGATGATGCTGAAAGACGTCACAGAAATTTGGCGATTCACAAACAAACCCAGTGTAGCTTTCTGTTTGGAGAAAAACCCAATTTAACTGCTTGGTTGATGGAAAATACTGTGAAACTGAATTCAAACTTTTGGAGTCACATAAGTCAGTGGGAATTACTCGAGATAATGAAGCATAGAGAGTAAGAAGGAAGGAAGTGTTGATTGTTGAATTGATGTGATTTGGTTTTATACTTAAAAATTCGAGGGTTTAATTTTAGAATGTGCACTTTTGTGGATTAAAAAGGATATTCTGAACATTAAATAGAAGTAATGATTTTTGTAAATAAAAATATTAACTTATTTTTATTAGAAAAAAAATTTTATTCTCTTGTTAACGATTTCGAAATATTTTTTTTTTTTCTATAAAATACATTTTTTTAAAGAAATAAAAATGGACAATTAGAATCTTTAATGAGAAGAAGAAAAAAAAATTATAAAGCAATAAAATCTGAAACTATAGTTATAAGCTATTCAAATGCAATTAGCATTTTAAATCCAGTGGATTTAAAATGATTAAAAGTACACTGAGATAAAAAAATGTGCTCAAGCAATAAAAAAATATGTTTCAAAAATTCTCTTAGAAATTAACTTGAAATATTGAATATAAAATCAATTGTTGAATATTTTTTACTGGGATTTGTATTTTAAACAATTGAATAAAGTATATTTTATAAAAATAAATTTAACAAAATAATTATATTAATTTTCTGTATGATGATAAAAAAATTAATGTTATAGAAAAATACTGTCTTATCTGTATTTAATTTTGTCCAGAGAACATTATACCACATTGTGACATTATTTTATCTAAGCACTTGGATAAGATTTATTAAAATATTTAGATCTCCTTGACTATAGTCTTGATGCACTCAGGAAAAAATTTACTGTTAACAATTCATATTTTTGTCAACTAAATTTGAAAATACACTTTTCAAGCAAAATTTCATTAAATTTAATAAAATATTTCTAATTATTTTTAACAATTAAATAAACATTTTTTCGTCTAACAAAAATTTTTTTCTTAATATAGAAATATTGTATAACATACAGTAGTTAGAATCTTCATACCTACTGATAACAAAAAATGACATGTTGATTATCTTTTATGGTTTGTTATAATTAGATATCACCTTATATCAACTTCCACAAAGCATGCAGAATTATTAATGCACACATAATCTCATTATGTCATTGCTTAACAATGACTACATAGCTACATACACCTATTTTTATATTAAATTATAGCTTTTATCACACATTTAAGTAGCTGTGTACATACATTTTAAGGAAAGTAAAAGCCAGACTTTTTGCATGTTCTTAGCACAACTCCTCCACCATACCAGTACATGAACAGCTATATGTAATACGAGTAGGGTTTCCATGAGTACAAAAGCCAAGCTTAAGCATAGCATTTCTGTATATTGTTTTCTTTCTCATACATTTTATTTCTGCTAAGGAAGCCGAAATGAGCAGACAGTCGATGCAACACTACCACTAGTATTGCCATCATTTGAGTATTATGAAGCCATACAATATATGTACATCTAACCGTACTTGTGTAGAGACGCACGCGCCAGTCTCTTCGACTTCCTGCCATCCGTCTTACTTCCGCTACTTCAATATTATGTATTATCCGTTAATACGTGACTCGAATTGCTTTTTCTATAGACATCTAATGTGCTTGAATCATATTATTACAATGTCAATAAAATGCTTTTGTTGATAACCAAAAAATGATATGCTCCCTACATGAATGAATGAAAAATATTCTTGTTACGAACTTCATTTAAATTTTTGACAGTTAAACCACAATTATATTATGCTCTTTCTTGTTTTGGCATTTTCATCTTTACAATGTTGCTGATCTCGTTATGTTGACGAGTTAGAACTCTTCTAAAAGTCAATGAACGCTGAGTTATTTTAGACAATTTTTATCTCAATTCCTTTTTTTGCGAACAATAACTAATGAATCTTCAAGATATATATTTTTCCCTTGACTTCAAAAGAAGATATAAATTTTTTTTAATTAATTTCATAATTATTCTACATTGTGCTAATTTTTTTTTTATTAAATAAATTTTAATAATTTCTTTCTTCTTTTGTCAGTGAAGTTAGGAAAGAAATATTCAAGAGAAATGAATAATTCAATGAATTTAAAAAATAAATTGTGATAACAAATAGTTTTTTGTTTCTTTCTTCTATGTTTGTTGCGTTCGGGTGTACTAAATAAAAATCACACTAATTTGTAAAAGAAACACGTCCGAAAACGTTGTATTCACTGTTTCGAACGTTCAATGAACGTTTTTATCTAGATAATTGGAGAGATATCTTAACCATCCATTATTTTAATTAAACAAACTATCGCAAAATTTTTTTTTAAGAAAATTTGTTTTCTACTGCTGCTGGGTCACTATTAATATTGCACTACACTGTATCTTCTCATCTATTCATTTATTTTTCTGTTTTTTGTTATTACTCATTAATACATAAGACAAAATATTTTGTAATTCAAATTGAAACAGATTTTTTGAAAAAAGAATTACTTTATTCAATAGAGTTATTATTATCATCAGCAACAGATGAGTAAAAAGTAGCCATAGAACTATAGAGGATATAATTACAACCCCTGAACTTTTTTGTTGACTTCATGTCTATAATTTTCTAGAATTACTCAGCTTTCCTTAAAAAATAAACTCTGAGCTTTGCCCATATTCAGATAAAATTAAGTAAAATATTTTCCAACAGATATGAATCCCTATAAAAATGTGCATATCTGAGATCGGTGTTGAGCACAGAAAATAAGCGAACCATGTATCCGTTTCCTCAAGTAAACAGGGGGCCTCCATCCCGGATTCTTAGAAATTATTCACGAGGTCAAGTTTTGTCTACATGTTACCTCTAGTTTCATTCATATTCATCAGAAATGAATGGATTACGATAAATGTTGTTTTGATAGTTATCGAAATATTGATGGCAATGATTAAAGAAGAGATGAAAAGTATCAAGTTATGGAAATTGAAATTTTCCGCACTGACATCATCTTATGAAAATAATGGAAAATGCTCATACCATCAGATCATATAACTTGGAGAAACAAGATATAATCTTATGCAAGATGCGTAGTAGTTCATCAGGAGGAAACAACTTCCACGGTACTATGAGCATATTTCTCACTGGGCGTATCATTCCGTTTGTGTATCAAGCCAGTAAGGTAACTTTACTTCTATTCGTATCCCGTATACGACGTAGAATATTTGGAACGCAGGATCGATACACAATGCCTACGTAAATGTATAGAAATCATGCCAAGGAAAAACATTTTTAGAGTTGTCTATTTTTTTTTCTATCTAGACACACTAGGGTTTTTATTTAGAATGTTGTGTTGCATTGTAGGTGAAAAATCTATCGCACTGAATTCGTAATTCCATGCAAGTGATTATTTATGGATTTTATTTTCCCTCTGTAAACCTCAAGTGCAAGTGCACTTTGGGGTACTCCAATATTCATTCATTGGAAAATTTTTTTTTAACAAGTTGAAATAATCCTGCAACAATGATAATACAATAAATAGTCCAACAACAATTAATAAACAATAAAAAACAACAATAATTAACAATAATAGTAACAATGATTATTTTATAATTAATTTATATATGATATCAAAAAATAATAATAATTAATTATTATTTTTTCAATTTATTTTTATTATTATTGTTTATATAATTTTTTATATAATTATATGAATTATATAAATAAAAATGAATATAATTATTACTAATAATTAAAAATTTTAATATTTTTTAATTTCTTGGGCTGCAAAATGATGAAAAAAAATTCATATTAAAATTAACATAAAAATTGAATAATGAAAAAGTATTTTTATAATCTGGCATAAATTAAGAAGGATATAAATAGAAAATTGCCATTTTAATGCATAAAATTTGGGAGGAATAAAATCAAGTTGACATCATGAAATAAAAAATAACAATATAAACCTTGCCCTACTTCTCTTGAAAATAGTGAATTTCAATATCTCAGAATAAAAATGATCCAACTTTTCAAATAAAATCCCAGATAAAATGATAATATTTTATCGATGAATAATCTTGATAATAAAAAGATCTCAAGATATGGAATAATTGATTGAAAAATGAATTGGAATGTTAATGAAAGAAGTAGTGATATGATTGGATGGATTCATAGACAATCGAGTGAAACGGGTGGTAAGCAGATGAGGACCACGAGAACTAGTCTAGGCTAGAGATTCTCAAGATCCAAAAGGGAGAGAATTGCAGCCCCTCGTCCAAGTTGCCATGCAGCAGGCTCCAAGCCCGGTGCACAAGCCGTCTACCAGGTAAAAGCAGCTGTCCACCAGGTGCCTCTTTTCCTCCCTTAACCCCTCGAATTCTCTTTTCCAGCTCCGTTCATCGACGCCTTTACTTTCCTGCACACATACATCAGCGCGTGCGCATTTGTCGCTCGCTGGTAGGGGTAAAAGAAGTATTTTTCTCGTCACTCATTGGCTAATGGCTCGCGCGCGGCTCTTAGATACTCAGACGTTCGCCCACGAAATCTTCAGTCGACTCTAGCCGCTCGAGGAGCAATCAGGCGTTCCGCATCGCGTTCATCATCGTCACAGACTATCGCCGTGTGTACACGTGCGATTGGTGACAATAGTCGTATTCTAATCTTCAATTCAATCACTTTGTTACCAAGGGGTTGAATGAAAATCATCCAAAAGTGTGCAGTGAATAAATTACTTCGATTAATAACAAGTAAAAATCGGTGACGTTTTATTCTTTCAAGAGTTGAATTGATATTTATCAAAGGTGAATACGGAAAGAGGTTCTTTTTCCGTTGCTATCTCATCGAAATAGCTTTAACACCCGTCACATTTATGGGGGTGGTAGGCGGAGAGTGCGCGGTCAAAGGTACCGGCGGTAAAAGCCATCCCTGTCACTGTTGCCGCAGTCCGCGAGTTTCTAGTGCTGGCCCAAACGCTGTATCTCTTGTTCAAAATAATCAAAATCGACATCGTTCTAAACATCATCTTGAAGCTGAAATACCCATTTGTGTACCAAATAGTCCTTCGTCCACGGATAGTAACATCTTGGCACCACTACGAAGCAAAATGAAAGTGCTCAAGAAACTCAAACGAAAGATGGGTTTAGGTGAGCTCAAGTGTTTTATTTTTTTTCTTTCTATTTTCTTTCGAATTTTCTCTATTCATATAGGTGGCTTATTTTCACACACTCGACGCAGCCAATATTGATCGTCCATTCCCTTTGCGCGCTTGCACACCCGGAAACACCAACATCGATGTCCATTTCTAAACCTATATTCTAACAAGCTTTATACCATTTACATATACATCATATTTATTCATTTTTCATTGGAGATCATTAATTGTTACGTCATTTTTAAAAGTTTTTTCATTGATGGTATTTTCCAAATAGTTTTGTTTTATTGACCACTTTGAATACGTGATAATAAACCACCTTCAAAGTGTTGAAAAACATTTCCCAGAGTACCTCTTAAAAGTAAACATCAGTCAACTTTGAATGACTGTTTCATAGCTGACTATTGAATCATTCATGATGATCCATGGACCAGTCATAAGAAGTGTATGCAATTTTTTTTTAAAAGGTTGATGAAATAACGTTGGCTCTTTTTATTAATTTTCGCATGCTAAATCCAAGTATGTAAATGATTTGTTCCTAAAATGGTACATTTAAAATTTATAAACAGTTTAATTGTTTAAATACATTTTTTAGCTAAACTATGGGAAATAAAGAAAAGCTAGACCATGGGAAATAGTTGTTATGTTTTAATGCTACTCACTATCACTTTTTAATTATCAATCATCTTATTTTAAAAATAATTAAAGCCTCAAGATAATTACAATTGTTGTTAATTAAAGTTTTCACTGATTAAAGTTACTTAATTGCTAGATTTGAAATCAAGTACGAGGTTGATTGATAAAAAAAAAGGTACATCTGTTGGATGATGAAGTACTTTTATAGAAAAAGCTTGTGCTAGATTTTGGTAGTTGATTTTGAGTTGAGTAAAAAATGTTGGTTTGTTGGAAAGGAAAAGAAAAAACAAGAGGATATCCGGAAGATGGCAGATGGTCTGACGAAAGATTGTTGATCACGTTTTGGAAACGCATTAGATTCTAAATCAAATGGGATTAATTGATGTAATGTAGCTATTTCTGAGGCTGCATGAAAGTTATTGTAGGAAAAAAGAGAATGAGAACTCGATGCCCAGTCTTCCGTGACGTCACACGCGCCCGCGAATAACCCGTCTTTGTTCCCACAGGCGCCGTTTCACAAACCGGTTTATCCCGCGTTTCCCTACTACTATCAGCTGTGAAACACCGTTGAATCATCAAAAGGTGAAACAAAAAAAGGAATTGTTTTTGTATGAATAAGCTTTTGGTTGTAGTAAATATTGGAAATTATTATAAGTAAAAGAACATGAGTTTATAAATATTAAGTTGCTATGGTAGACTTGAGTAATTAGCACCCTCGTGTAGCTTCAAACGCGTCCTCTTGTTGCTGGCTGAGAGGAACGTCGAGGGCAGTTTAAAATAGAAGAGAAGGCAGTCGAGAGGTTGTAGGAAATAGGCCACTCTCATCTACTTCCTCTTGCATTCGACGACACTAAATTTTATGTAAATGAATCCATGCAAGTTTTTTTGTTTGCTTTTTCCTTAGTGTGTCTTCCACATTTGTTTGTTAATTCATGATAACTTGATTGATTAGTATCATCATCATCAACTCTTCCCAATGACCAACTTTATTTTTGTTTTTCAACCCAAAGAATGTTTCTAGTATTTAAAGAATTCAACAACAAAGCAAATATTGGTGAATAATTGAATAATTAAATGATAAAGAAGGCATAAATAAATAGAAATGGTGACCTGTTGAGCTTAAAAAATCTAATTTTGATAAAAAAAAAAATTTAATTCCAAGATCAAGTTTGGAATTGAAAGTAACTTATTTTTATTCTGGCATTCACTGAACTTTGACCGCAATGAATGAACGGAAGAGACAATTTCTTAGTTCATAATGTTAGTGGCATCTTGGAGATAAGAATAAAAAATTCAATGCCCACGTACAATTTAGTTATATTTTATTCTCTGTTATTGAGTCTCATCTTGTTGAGTGTAAGTGAGTGACTGAAATGAGAAGATGATTCAATTACGAACAAGTCTAGAGGGTCAATGTATAATATAATACATATAAGAACGTGTCGTGGCACTTGTTTCAACACCTACGACATTTTTGCACTACTTTCAACCCATTGTAAAGTTAGTGAACCAACACTTGTGATGAGCAAACACTTCATCTATTATATATTTTCATTTCATTACTCGGATTCTTTATTTATCCATTCTATCCTTTCTCTCTCTCGCATTCTATGAAAGTTTAATTGTTAACCATAAAACCATTGTGTTCAAATACTTGATAAGAATTTTATGCTGACATGAAAAAAAATATTGATGATTAAGCTTTTTAAACTTTAATTGTTTTAATTTTAACTTCAATGATATCAACAAGTTGTTAGCAATATTTTTATAATGGTAATTATTTTATTTAATTAATTTAATTCAAAAAAATATATTATATAAAAATATATTCATTAAAATGGATGTGGATATTTTTTTTTATCACGAATTGGTATTTTTATACACAATATACCATTGTTTAATAACATAAAATTATTTATAACAATATTTAATTTTTTTTTGAAACTATTTTGTTACTTTTTATTAAATTAAATAGTGTAGAAATTAGATATTAAAAGAGGAAAAAAATGTGTTGTATAAATTGTACAAATTCAAAAGAGCAAAAAAAAGGGGGAAATTTTTTTTTTGTTTGTGAACTAACAGTAGAAGAATAGATGAGAAAAATTGTTTTAGATGAAATAAAATAGTTATAGTAAGGAAGTGGCAGTAACTTTGAACATTTTGAGATTTTAAAACCAGGTGGTGTACGACCGTTGCTTTTTTGGAGTAGAGAGGGGCGGTTCTTTGGCGTATGTATATATGTATATGTATGTACATCATCCCCTTTTCCGTTCATCATCCGAAAAAGACCCCAGTCATCCCAACCATACATAACGACAGCTGTTCCTATCGTCCTCATACTTTTCCTACGACTCCCAGTAATTCTTAATGTACTCCAAAGCTTTGTTCAAATTTCTACCTATATCTATTTAGTGAATTGCGAAATTCTAGTATCCCATTTTATATCAATTCCTCGACAAATACATAAAAAAAAAGTCATTTTTCATTTTAATAAAAATTGGGGGATTTTTAGGTTTGATTTATTCATTCACAGTAGGCTGAATAAATATTATCATTATCGTGAGAATTTTTCTTCAATTCAATAAAAAATAAATTTATGGAAAAATTGAATAAATAATAGACTTCTAGATGATCGTTTGACAAGGGTTGGAATTAAACTATTTTATTTATCATGCTCCAAAAGCTTATCACGTCATATTTTTCTAGATACATATTCCATCCTCAATTTATTTATTTATAATTATAATATCTAAAAAAAAAAATTTGAATTTTTCTATCTTTTCAAATAATTATTATTCTTCGTGACGTAAAGCTTTTCTTTTGAAAAACTACCATTTTTTCTTTCATTTCTGTAAAAACATTTTATTCTAAACACACCGTCCATCAGTATGTGGAATTATAGTGATAATCCGTCATGCGAAGAAAAAAAAACGTATACGGGTTTCTATAATGGCGTGTTGCTCCACTGTGTAACAGCTAGTAACATACAATACTTGGGTTGCTCGACGGGGCGACTTGTATTGGGGCGGTGGCGAGAGCGAGTGGCGTGCCTGCAGCAGCAGCTGCCTTTGCCACCGGCATTGGGCCCAAGTTTGTTCTGCAACGTCAGTCGTTATACTGGCGTCAAACGAGCGTCACGTAAAAACTCATTTCCTTTTATATTTTTATCAGATTCTTCAATCAGTTTTTTTTTAATCAAAGTTCTGGTCATTTGAGTTTCTGAGCTATAAATGACCGTTAATTAACTGCAAAGTGTACTTGATAACTGGTAAACAACATAAACAATGTCTTCATAACGCGGGAAAGCTTGAAAGTTGAATTTACGCATTAGCTATTACATCAGGCCCAGAATGTCTTTGTCCTATCAGAGACATGGAAGGACACCCTTGACAGTAAGGAGAGCTACTAGAGTGGCTAGAATACGTCTTTCTAATGCTAATGGTGAGTTTTAGAATCGTAATAGGTTGATATATTCATCAAAAGAAAAAATGTAAATAACTTGAAAGATTTTGACAGTTAAACTTTTCTCGCATGATGATCATCATTTTCAAGAGGTCAGTGAAATTTAGGACGCTATTTGAAACATTTCCCTTTCTCTTATATTTCTTTTCTATAATGTTACCCCCTACTTGAGCTTAGTCGTGTGAGACGACAGATGTGCCCTCCACAGAGACGCTTTACCCTGTGGAATTGCCAAGCTATACTAGTCTTGATGACTAATTCAATTGTTCTTGAAAGTGATTGGGACGAAAAAAAAATATATTCCTCAAGTGACGTTTTCTCATGAGGATATACGCATTCACTTGGGAAAAATCGCATTTTCTTTGTTGACGAACACATTTGATGGGGAGTTCTTTGTTTAGGTTGCCGGGCTCGGTCGGTAAGTCTGTAGTATCTATCATGTTTATGAACAGTCAAGTTGGTAGTAGGGATATTGCATAAGATTTAGATGAAGTGAATGAGGAGAAAAGAGGGAAAATACATAGGATAACTGGGATAAGGAATAGAGCGGTGAGAGGGGAAAATAGAGAGGTAGTAAAGGAAAAGAGGAGCGGCTCAATCTTGGGTTAGGTTGCGAGTTAAACAGCAAAGATCACGGCTGCGGGCGTGGGAAAGTACTTGATGCGATTCACTTGATGTTAGGATGCACACTGGAAAATGGATACTTCCGTATTATTTATAATTAATCATTTGTTATTCATAAAACGGCTCTTTATGGTTAGAAAATATTCATTATCTAAGAAAATTATTGGAGATGTTTCTTTAATCTTATTCATCATCAACAACAATTAAGAATATTCATTGAGTGTATTTTATTTTAACTCTTTTTTTCTCTGTAGGAAAATTATATTCTGAAACAAAAAGTTATCAAAAACTTCCCACACACACTTTCTGACCTAAATACTGTTATTGATGGAGACGCATCATGATATTACGGATCTAACTATCACATGTGTCGAAGTGAAGGCCAGTGTTCTAAGATGAGGTCAATTACTCTTGGTCCATTGCACTAAGCAATTGGTATATCTTATAAAAAGATATTTTAAACAAAGAAACCTTATTTACCGCTACATGAAATACTCCTAAAGAAAATCTAACTTAGTCATTCTTATTCATTCCATGAACATTAATCAAAAAAAAAAAATGCCATTGCTGTCGATGGGCAATCAACCGAAACACTCCTGTCACCTATCATGATAGTGAATACCATCAAGTACTGGTTTATATGCCTGTATAATTCTGTCAATGATCAACTCCCGCGGATATTATTTTCGCTTGTCGTTATGCCTCTACACCCGCAGCAATACTAGAAGCAACAACATTTGGAGCGTGATTGCTTTAAGCCACCGGGGCAACAGAGAAACAAGTATGACTTTGGTATATTTACAAACACGCTACTAGAAACTTGGGTGTTGAGGAGTCAATGTGATTCTACTTCTCGCTAGCTTCATCGTACCGTGGGAAAGTCGAGACTTACCGTTGCAGATATTTCTCTTGATTTCTGCGCAATTCACAATACATAAAAAGTATGAATATTAGTCAGCAACAAGTTCCAGGTTCCTCAAAAGGATTTTTTTTCCATTAATTACTCAAACCTGCATCAGAAATCTTGGTTTAATCATTCTATATTACTTCTCTAGTCATCTACTTCATGAAAATCAAATTACGTGCAGTTACTTTCAATTAGATTATTTTTTATTTGATCACATCAATTTAAATTAATATGATTGTAGATGAAACTAGTTCCCATAATTATATTTTTAAACAAATCTTCATCACCTGCATTTAATCAGATGTTGTATATCAAGTATTAAGCATTGTTTATATAAATAACTCCGTTTCTCACTAGTACGTGACAATAATTTTAAAGAACTATTATTATTATTCATCACAAGGTTTGCCTGAAAGATTCATGGTACCACTTATCGCCAGATAAAGCATATCAAAAAGTGTATTGACACTTTAATAACTGCTAAATTGACTCTTTCCATCAGTTCTTTGTCACTCATACAATTCCTGACGGAACTCAATTGTTTGCGCTAAGTTTCGTGTAACTTCCGTTGGAGAAGAAGAGCGTATCGCCTTGGAAGCCAACTCCACCGTTATGTAGAACGGCCTTTCATACTTCCGTCACGGAGAATGCGGTTTCCGGTTGTAAAAACCGAAGATACTTGCACCCTACCATCAAAATCACTCCTCCACGCTTCCTTGCTTGTCGATATTACTAGTGAGAACTTAAGTCTTCGGATCACTGGTTTTAAATTACCAATGGCTTTGGATATTGAATTCACCTTAAGAAATCACTTTTCGTCTTTTATAATAATTTCTTATTCTTCAGGTAGCATTTTTTTAATGGCAACATTTTTTTTTTTATGTTACAGCACCAAGATCATCAAATACAGGAACAAATAATCTTCCACCATTGACATTTCATCAAGTACATGGAGACAATATCAGACTTTGCAATGGAGGAACGATTGCACGAAGACGCGAAAGTTTTTGTAAAGGAATTACATTCAGTGCAAGGCCAGTTCGTGTTGGAGAAAAGGTAAATTAACATTTATACTATTAATAAAATAATGTCTGTTTTCAATATTTGATAAATAATTTATACTTTCATAATGATATAATATTTTAAGAGGAGTATATTGAATTTTTTAAAATTAATATCCTAGTTCATTATGTTATATCTCATCATGTCCAACATAGCCTTGAAATAACTCCTCCGTTTGACTATTATATCATGATGTTCATTCACAAAATTTCACCTCGAAGTCGTTTTTAGTATCCACAAAAGGATTCCTCAAATCTTTTAATTTATTTCGCAACACTCCTCATTTTTATATTAAATTAATTAATTTTTCTTTTCTCTTTCAAAAGGTTTGTGTTAAATTCCTGGAAATGTCCAACAACTGGAGTGGTGTCATAAGATTTGGATTCACAAGCAATGACCCGATCCATTTGAGAAATGGATTACCTCGATATGCATGTCCAGATTTGACGAATAAACCTGGATATTGGGCAAAAGCTTTAGCTGAAAGATTTGCCGGACTTGATACCGTTCTCTTCTATTATGTCACAGCAGCAGGTGACGTACATTTTGGTGTAAATGGAGAAGAGAAGGGAGTTTTTTTTAGTGGAGTTGAAACACGAGGACCTTTGTGGACGGTTATTGATGTCTATGGCAATAGTACTGCCATTGAATTTCTTGATCCAAATCGACAGCATTTCAACAACATTCGACGAGGTGTAGAACACTCTAACGAAGATAATGCACAACCCAGTAGACATACTGCTATGGATGATGCCAGTAATGCTGGAAGGGATGTTGTTGAAAGAATTATTGTTCCTTCTATGCAAAATGTCTGTATTCATCATGAACCTGACGTTGAATTACCTGGACTAAGGTTTCAACAACCCGGAATTTTATTTGCACCACTTCCTTTTCATCCGTAAGTTGAAATTACTATTTGTATTATTATAAGTTTATCATTACTAAACATTTCCGTGAATATCAGCTTATGTATGGTTATCTTTTTTTACAGAGTCCGAGGCAGGAACATCCGTTTTAGTAATCAACAATGTGTTGCTACTCGAAGCGATACTGAATTCTGCCACGGTTACGCCTTTACAAGCCGCCCATTGATGCTTGGAGAACGTCTAGTCGTCCAGGTTTTATCTACAGAACCTTTATATGTTGGTGCTCTTGCTTTAGGACTAACATCTTGTGATCCCGCTCGACTCTCCGCTGAAGATCTTCCCGATGATAGTGATTTATTACTTGATAGACCTGAATATTGGGTTGTATCGAAAGATGTGGCATCTTCTCCTCAACCCGGTGACGAAATAGCATTTGTTGTTACTCATTCCGGTGAAGTACAGATGAGTAAAAATGGCGGACCACCAAATATTGTCATGCATGTGGATCAGAGTTTAGTACTTTGGGCATTTGTCGATGTTTATGGTAGCACTCAAAGAGTCCGTATGTTGGCCAGTAGACCTCCATCACCACCAAGACAACGTCAATGCTCGACTTCAACACCAGCCCCACCATCGACTACGCAATGTACGTCAACTCCAGCTCACACTAATCCAGTTCAAGGATCAAATGAGCTCACTAGATTTTCTGATATGGTTCAATTTAAACCAACAGTCGGAGGAGGTACAGTATTAGTGGTAAATTTACCTCCTCAACCAGGATATTCATCTCCGTCACCACCCCAACCAATTTATGGCTCTGCAGCACCTACAGCTGTCAGAAATTCTGGCTTCTATCCGGCTTCAGGAACGGCTTTATCAGCTCCAGTGTCTTCTGTCACCCCTGTGGTTGCATCACCAGCACCATTGTCACCAGTTTCAGCTCATTCAGGACCACGAGCATCACCGCCGCTCACCGGAACAATGAGTAGCACTGGATCATCAACTTATGTCGATCCAGTTTCTTACCAAAGCGTGGATGCTACTTTAACTTTCCAAGGCAGCCATCTTCAACAGTGGAGTGAAAGACTTCAACCCACACCGGGCCAACCTAGCGAATGTTCTATTTGTTACGAAAGAAATATCGATAGTGTTCTTTATATGTGTGGACACATGTGTATGTGCTATCCATGTGCTATTCAGCAATGGAGAGGCAAAGGCGGTGGTCAATGTCCACTTTGTAGAGCGCAAATTAGGGATGTAATTAGAATTTATAGGTCTTGAACTGCTTCATGTCTTCCTAACTGATAATTGTTGATGGAATCAACTTTAGATCAGTCCCATGGTGTATTTTTTCAATGTTATTAATATTAGGATTTAATCCTAATTTTAGTATCATGCTAATTCCCGATTTTTTACTTGATAAACTGCCAAATACGATGATAACTTCAGTCTCAAGGCCATTGATATTTACTAATGGTATCTCAGTGGGATCAAAAATGTTTATCCCCATGTCATCGATTGTTTTATTAAACTCAGACTGAGTCCCGAGCTTTTGACTGAATGAAAGCATCATTGATATCTGCAAAATATTTATTTTCTTTGTCAGAATTTCGTACTAAAAATGTTGAGAGGACTCTTGATTCTTAAATCATTCAAAAAATTATCTATCTGTTTTCATAATCAATGATTGTTCTTCGTCGGCATTGATTGTATTCATATTGTGCACTAGTTTTTACATCACTACCAAAGAAATTTTCTCATATCCGCGTCACTCTGTAAGTGTCTTCATGGTAGACAACGAGCCGATCGTTATACTGGAGAAATATAAATGTCAATTTTTCCATTTAAGAACAAAAAAATAATCGTCATTATTTAGTGAATTTTTCATGACCTTTCGAAATGAACTGTCTCATTGACTAAAAAAAAAATTTATTTTTAATTGGAAATAAAATGTATTAGTTCATAGTGATATTTTTTTATTAAAATATATCAATGTAGAAGTTCATTTGGGAGATTGAAATAATTAACCAATCATATTTAATTTTTGATAAACATAATTTGATTTTTTTCATTGTTGTAAACTCCATTGGGTGCCTTGAACTTTGGTAATCGAGTATAACGCGTTAATAAAAATGTTAATTAATGAAAAACAAAATAAAATGAAACGGGCAGTATAAGAATAAAAAAAAAATATTCACATTGTTCGACGAAGCGACTATAGATTATATTAGTTAGAATTTTTGAATACATTTTACGATCATAACATTTACGGAGTAGGAAGCGTCAGATAAATTTTGATAATAGATCTCATGACAATTCTAATAAAAAAAAAATAACACTATTTTAACCGCACAATGACTTTTCATTGATTATACTTTTTAAATTTATAATCAATAATAATGATAGTAATTATTCATAAAGAAACATTAATAATGACTAAAACAATAAGAGAAAAAAAAAATATTGAAATAAATTTTTATCGTGCGTTATGCTTGGAAAGACTCAGGTTTTGTATTTTCTTTTTATTTAAATATATTATTATAGACACACTTTAGATTATAAAATGAAAATAATTCACTATATTAATATATTTAAATTTGAAGACCATAATAAAAAAAAAACAATTATCAAGGTATTAAGTTAGGTTTTCTTAATTAAAAGAAAAAGTAAGAACGAGAAGCTAAGAAAAAAAGTGTAAATTAGATAAAATTGAAATTTTTTGTGTTAAAAAACGATAGGCATGCAGATAATGCAGTAGTGAAATCTCTAGTCCAGCAAAATGGCAACTTTTCTGCCAGTTTATAAAAAAAAATTACGAGAGAAAATTTAAAAAAATAATTTTATTAATTATTTAACGAAATAAAAACAAATAAAATAAATCGTTTATCAAAAAATCTATTATCCTTTAATATTTAATCGGCTTGTAATATTTCGGATTAATCATGTATTGACAAAAAAATCAATTATTCTAGAGTGAAAGGATAAATAATAATATTATAAGTGAGACCGAAAGTGAGAGAACGAAAGAATGAACGGAATGAAAAGAATAAATAATTGATAAGTTGATTAATTAAATGCGTGCATAATAGAAATTAAGGATTAAAAGTGAATTTTAAAGTAAATAAAGGTGAATAAGCTAAGGCATCGATCAATTGCTAGTGACGTAATTTAAGGATTTTGATATTCCAAAAAATTAATTTAATTAAATTTAATGATAAGTGTAAAAAATTAATAAATTATAATTGTTTAATATTTATGTGATTATTGTTAATATTTAATTAACTCTTTACCCATTTTATTAAAATATAATACTAAGTCTACTCTCGAAACAACACAACTTTTCTCTTTGCTGTTTCTAAAAGATCAGTAAATATTAATCTGTTAAATAATTTAAACAATATTTTAATAATAAATTTGAATAATAAGAAATATGATCAGACATAATCGTTATTTGAAATTTAATAAATAATTTGATAAAATCTCATTGTTATTATTCTTGAAGCGAAGAATCATTTAATTTATTTCATTAAAAAATGAAAACGTAAACAATGCTTTTTTATGCCATAATTACGTTAAACAAGATTAATTCATTAAATTCTTAACAAGAAATTACTATACTCAATTTGATAATCGGACTTCTCACCTGTCGTTATATTGTCAAAATACATCCTCAGTTGCTTCATGCGTATACCTGAGCATTTTTAACTTCCCATTAGGAAATTATTGTAATGGGGTCGATTTTTAAAATTCGTAATTTTATCATATCTCGAGAACTACTGAAGATATCGACTTCGGAGAAATTTCATTTTAAAGATAATATAATGAAGAAGATCTGAAAGAAGTTTAAACAAATTCGGTCCAGCTGTTTTTTTTATAACAAAAAGAGTGTGAAATAAGTTGAATAAAAAAGACATTTGAAATTGATTCTACTTATTAGATGATTAACATTATTGACAACTGAGGTCAATATACTATGGTTGTTAATAACTTCATATGACTCTAGACAATTATTTATTTAATTTGTTATAAACAATGAAAAATGGTTTTAATTTATTAAATTATCATTACTATGATTATATTCAATAAATATCAATAAAATATTGTTATAAATAACTTTATATGATTAAACAGTGGTATATTGTTTATAATAATAGTAATTTTTTATAAACAAAAAAAAGATGACAAAGTACGGATTTCAATTAATGGGAAGTTCGTCGTCAGGGCACAAACTAAGCCCAGACCCATTTTTTTCATATTTTTAAGCTTACGTACAATAAGTTACGTACTTTAGGTTATGTATAGTTAGGTAGGATTTAGTCAAACTATCGAAAGGATGTATACTATGAGTAGTCTAGATTCCGTAATATATGCAGTGAGTAGTATATAATACACTGAGCTCTCTCATGTTAGATCATCGTTGGTTTCCCGCGTTTAATTTACGTTCTTTTTTTACGTTCATTAACTTCACTGTAAAATAGTTTAATAATGGATTTAGCTGACTTACAAACTCATCAAAATCGCGTGAAAGATGAAATCGGAGTTCAGTGTCAAAAATTATTCCAAACTTTCCTTGAAGAGTATGTTTTTAATTTATTTTTATCATAAGTTTTCTGCATGATTCAAAGTATTTTGTTTCTAAGTCTAGCTATATACTTACACGATTTTTTATTTACAATTTTATTTATTTATTTTTTTCAATAATCAATTATTTATGTTGAAATAAACTTTAGTAATAATAACATTTAACTATTTTAGATTTAAAGAAGATAATGAAATCAAATATTTAGAAGCTGCAAAGGAACTGGTTACTCCAGATCGAAGTACTCTAACTGTGTCTTTTGAGGATATTGAAAAATATAATCAAGTATTATCAACCACAATTATTGAAGAATATTACAGGTAATAATAAGAATGATTACAATTGAAAAAAAAATGAATTTTATTTACAAATATTATTTGTATGAATTTATTTTTATAGAATTTATCCATATCTATGCCAAGCTGTTTGTAATTTCGTCAAGGATACTGGTAATGACAAAAAGGATAAACATTGTTATGTGAGTCTTGTAGATGTACCAACTAGACACAAATTAAGAGAGTTAACTACACCTAAAATTGGTACCCTTATTAGAATTTCTGGACAAGTTGTCAGAACTCATCCAGTACATCCAGAGTTAGTTCTTGGGACATTTTTATGTGTTGATTGTAATGCAGTTATCAAAAATATTGAACAACAATTTAAATTTACAAATCCAACAATTTGTTATAATCCAGTATGCTCAAACAGACGAAGATTTGTATTAGACATTGATAATTCAACTTTTGTTGACTTTCAAAAAATCAGAATTCAAGAAACTCAATCAGAATTACCTCGAGGATGTATTCCAAGATCATTAGAAGTCATTTTGAGAGCAGAAATCGTGGAAACTGTTCAAGCTGGTGACAAATATGATTTTACTGGGACTTTAATAGTCGTTCCTGACGTTGGAGCATTAGCTTTACCAGGAACAAAAACTGAAATCGGATCTAGACATAAAGCAGGTGAACAATCAGAAGGTGTTCGAGGATTGAAAGCTCTTGGAGTCAGGGATTTAAATTATAGATTAGCTTTCTTGGCCTGCAGTGTTACTGCAACGAGTCTCCGGTTTGGTGGTACGGAAATGGCCATGGAAGATATTTCCCAAGAAACTATGAAACGACAGATGACTGAAGCTGAGTGGAATAAGGTCTATGAGATGAGTAGAGACAAAAATCTCTATCAGAATTTAGTTTCAAGTTTATTTCCATCAATCCATGGTAATGAAGAGGTGAAAAAAGGTGTCACACTTATGTTATTTGGTGGAGTTCCTAAAACAACAATGGAAGGTACGACATTGCGTGGTGACATTAATTGTTGTATAGTTGGTGATCCAAGTACAGCCAAATCTCAGATATTAAAGCAAATTGCGGATATTTCACCTCGAGCTGTTTACACCTCAGGAAAAGCATCCAGTGCTGCTGGGTTAACAGCAGCTGTAGTCCGTGATGAAGAATCCGCTGATTTTGTTATAGAAGCAGGTGCTTTGATGCTTGCTGATAATGGTATTTGTTGCATTGATGAATTCGATAAGATGGATCCTAAAGATCAAGTAGCCATTCATGAAGCTATGGAACAGCAAACAATATCAATTGCTAAAGCAGGAGTTCGAGCAACATTAAATGCCAGAACATCCATTTTAGCTGCAGCTAATCCAATAGGAAGTCGTTACGATCGATCTAAATCTCTTCAACAAAATGTAATGATGACTGCTCCTATTATGAGTAGATTCGATTTGTTTTTCATTCTTGTTGATGAATGTAATGAAGTAATCGATAATGCTATAGCTAAAAAAATAGTCGATCTTCATAGTAACAACATTGTAAGCATTGAAACTGTATACGAGCAACACGAAATTCTTAGATATATTAATTTTGCTAAACACTTTAAACCTGTCATAAATGTGGATGCTGCAGAGCTTCTAGTGGAAAGTTATACAACTCTCAGGCAAAGGGAAGGAATTGGCTCTAACAAGTCAACCTGGAGAGTAACTGTCAGACAACTGGAGAGTTTAGTACGACTTTCAGAAGCATTGGCGAAACTTGAATGCGGGGACAGAGTTACTGTTAAGCATGTTGCAGAAGCTAGACGATTATTAAGTAAAAGTATTGTACGCGTGGAACAACCAGATATTGATCTTGATGAAGATACAAATGAAGAGACTGGAATGGAACTCGCAGATGCTCCACCACTAATGGAGGCTTTCAATGCAATAGGAAACGGTGATTCACAATCACAGGAACTTTCTAACACCCATGATCAAACTCAACCCAAAAAGAAGTTGACTATGTCTTTCGAAGAATACAAAAATTTGTCAAATATGTTAGTACTGTATATGAGAAATCAGGAAGAAAAATTAGAGGCTGAAGAAAAAGAAGGAATCAGAAAGTCTGAACTTGTTGCATGGTATCTAGATCAAATACAAGATCAAATTGATTCTGAAGAAGAATTACTTGAAAGAAAAGCACTCGTAGAGAAAATTATCGATAGATTGATGTATCATGATCAAATTATAATTCCTCTAACAACGGGAAGGCTGGATAGAAAAGATGATGAAGAAGAAGATCCTATGCTTGTTGTTCATCCGAATTATATTGTAGATGTCTAATTGTAAATTAAATCCAATAATGATGATTTTAATTTTTAGATATAAAATACGAAACATAACAAAAAATATTTTTCTATTTCACATGTTTTTAATAAGCATTTTAAAAATGATAAAAAGTGTTATCAACGAGGCTTGAGCTGCGTGATTTAATCAGCAAATTAAATGAATTTATAAAGATAAAAGGGCAAATATAATTAAATAAAATAAAAGGAGGATTAATGAATTGTAATCAATTATTAAATGATAAATCTTAATTTATGTGAATAACTTATTATTTTATTTTTATCATTAACAGGTGAATAAGCTTTTTTGTAAAGTTGACAATTGTCAATTATAAAATGTAGAAGTTGAAATGAATTTTTGTACCAAAACTTTTATGAATAAAAAATGAAAGTTTCCAGACAGTAATTATCATAAATTATTAAAACAAAGCAATTATATTACATTACTGATTGTTTATTTCATTCTTGCAATCTCTTCTGTTATTCTTACTAGTTTAGTTCATTACCATTGATGACTCAGAGGTAGTGAGTGAAGGTTTAGCTGTCAAGAAGTAGAAAATTTAACAGTGTCATATTTTTTTAAATTATCTCAAATAAATATTAAATTATTTTTTATATTATTCTCTACTTATTTATCTTTATGATTGTGGATAATTTTAAATAATCATGGAACAACCACGAGTGGTTTGTATGGGAGATTTTGCACTATTAAGAGACACTATATCTCGAAAAAAAACGACCTTCTTCTGGGTTCTTGTTGGAATGATTGATTCCATTTTACGAGGAACTAGTCAAGTAGGTATTATCAAATTAACTCTGAATACTGTTTCAATTTTTACTATTATTATGTTACAGGTAATATTAGCTAATAATACTATCAGTGGGGTTCTAATATTAATCGCTTTAGCTTCTACATCCCCTGGAATTTTTATTTCCGGTTTTCTTGCTGGATTCACGGGTTTAATAGTTTCTATGGTGAATTATTTACCACAAAAATGAACTATTTTTCATTTATTTTTATCATTCATATTTGAATTATTTAATGGTATTTTTTAGTTAATTCAAGATCCACTGACAGATATCGAAAATGGGTTGACAGTTTATAATCCTATGCTCATTGGATGCATAACTTATTCACTTTCATTTAATATTTATGGATCATTAGACTCTTTTTTAATACTTCTCACATTAATTGCAGTAATATTGAGGTAAATTATAATTAAAAATAAAATATAAAATAAAAAAAATAAGGAAAAATGATTTTTTTAATTTTTTACAGTGTTTATTTGACTCGAGCACTATCAAATGAGAGATTTCCTTGTGTAACTATTCCGTTTAATATTGTAGAATTGATTCTAATTTTTGTTTTAGTCATACAGAAAAATTTAACAGAAGAAAATTTATTGAATGAAAATATTGATGATGTAAGATATGAAATGTTAAAATAATAATTAAGATTGCTTAGCAAGGTGTAAATTGCTCTCGTTCATTTGGGTCAAAGTTAATAGAATCTAATTTACAGGTGAATATAACAACAGTGAACATCTTAAAAATAAATGATAATGAAACATTAGAAAAAAATGATACTCCTCATCTTGATTGGGGAATGGTAACAAAACATAAGAGAGTAATTTCAATTGAACTAATAAATTTGGTTTATCAATAATTTTTCATTTTCAATTAAAGGTTTTTCGGGGAATCGTTACTTCATCATCACAAGTATTTGCTGTCAATGATGTCGCAGCTGGATCTATTATATACCTTGCTATTTTAATTTATTCTCCTATTACTGCTGTTTTTTCATTACTTGGAGCAGTCATTGGTTGTTTCGCAAGTTCGTTCTAACTTTAGCTAAAAAAAAATCACAGTATCAAGTGCGAAAATAATATGATTAAAAATAGAACTTTTATTATTAAAGTATCAACTAAATATTTTTGAATCAGTGATTTTTGTTTTGAAAATGTTTTTTATATTTTTAGGTCTCGGGTTAGACGTTCCGTATGATTCAATTTATTCTGGTGCGTGGGGATATAACAGTCTTTTATCGAGCTCAGCATTTGGTGGATTATTTATAATTTTTAATCAACAATCTGTTCCTCTAGCTTTTGCTACTTCAATTTTTGCTGTTTTATTACAGTACATACTTCAGCCAATTTTTCTCAAAGTAAATATTCAAAAAAAAAAAAAAATCGGTTTCATATGAGTATAAAAAATTATCATGATCTTTTTTTCAGGCACAACTTCCAATATTAACGGTCCCATTTGTGATAACATTTACTCTTTTTTTGGGGCTTCGAGAATCATCAGACGTATTTAATAAACCACAAGTAATAACTTTCCCAGAAGAACATCGATTAAATTATCTAACGAGTCAACGAAGTCAAGATTCAACTGCAGAATGATGATAATAATTAGTATTCTTAAATATTACGTTGCATTAAATAAATAAATATTAATTTTTTTGAAGAACAGAATTATATAGTTTTCACGAAAAAACTGTTTTATTAATTTTCAATTATCTAATTTTAATTATAATTAAAGATTGTATTTAATACTAAACACACTGTCGAAACTTTGTTAACTTGTGTAAATAAAGAACGTGAATATATATTATAGACTCAAATATTTAAATTCATGAAAAAAAAGAAAAAAAACGAATTAGTTTAAGATATACAATGTTTTATTTTAATTCTTCAAAGCTAATTTTTCATTTAAACATTATAATACCCGTACGAAAAAATATAGATATATTTAAAAAATATTTGCAACATATATTGTATACATTCCAGTAAAATACATAAATGAAAAACATTTTTATGTGTCTACTTTAAACCTTACTTCATCACTTATTTTCAATACATTTTAAATTATTTCGATGTATGTACAATTACGTGAAACATATCACGGAATTTTTTTTTATATCAATGTATATCAAAGACTTATTTTCAAAAACGAAGTAAATATTACTGAAGCATGCTTTGTTTATATATATTTACCAATGAATGTATACAATATATGTTATTTATATTTATTCATATATTTTTTCGTATAGATGGTCAATGATGTTACTTGAACACGCGTTCATTCCTCATGAACAGTCTCGTGAGCTCTGCAGTCTGAACTTCCAATCCTCCATTTCCTTTCTTGTGTTATCATTATTAATAATATTAATAATTAATAATCATTGTATTATTTATTCAATCATCAAGGTTTTGAGATAGTAAAAAATTAGCTGCAAGGTTTTCATTCTTATCACATGCAAAGTACGCCTGGAGAACCAGATGTTCTGGAAAACCTAATGCTTTCAACCTTTCAATAGCTTCTCTATCTTGTTGTGAAACAGGAATTACTCCAGTTGCACCACCATTGCCACCTCTACCACTTGGATTAGATGCTGGTAAAGATCCTGCTTGTGCTGTACTTCCTCCAGTTGATCCTACTAATAAATCAATTTCAAAATTAATTTAAGATTTAAAGGAAACGATGGAAGGTTGATAATCTTTTCTTACCTGGTTCATTCATCATACGAACAAAGGCTTCTCGATTTTGGGAAATTAATTGCAATAGTGCAGGATTAGATTGTCCGATTTGTTGAAGAACTGCATTTAAAAGTTGTGGGTTATGGCGAATTACTTGACGCATTTGTTGGAATTGAGGTTGACTCCGTAAAAATGCTAATGGATCTTGGTCATTTATTGCTGGAACATTAATACCAGCTTGTGATTCTGAGGAATCTTCGGGCATGTCGTCGAATAATTGAGCTGGAATTCCAGTCAACAAGTACTCAACAGCTCTATCTGGATTGTTAAAACTTGCACGGAGTGCTTGTTCCACTTGCTCACGTTCATAACTAAAAATTAATTTATAATAATTATGAACCCAATAGTTTAGAATCGTAGATAATCTTATCTAGACTCACGTACCCCATGTCCATAATATTATTAACCATTGTGTTGTATTCTTCACCCATTAGTAAAGCACTTTCTGGTTGTTCTCGTGTTTCAATAGCTGCTGCTAATGGTTGTTCTGGGACTGGTGTGGGTCTAGGTCTAGCTGGGGCTACGGCTGGTGCTGTTGGATCATTAATTGATATAGGGTTCCTAAAAATTACCAACTATCATTTACATTTTTGTTGAAAAAATACCAGAAAAAAGTTTCTATACTTTACTGGTAAAAACTTTCATTGTTTATAAAAAGATAGACAAAAGTAATGGATCTCTGGATTCATAAAAAACTTTACGATTGAAAAAGCAATTAGCCATAAAGATCTTATGCGATCTTAAAGATTCTACCTGGCATGACCGATTGTAAAGTCATTTTTGCATTTCAATAAGAAGAGATTTATAACTACACTTGATAGCAGTGATTTATTTAGATTCATCATAAAGTTTTGTATACCTTGGTAACGTTGGTTCATCAATTTGTCCTTCAGTGCTAGTTGAGCCGGCTACTGGTTTAGGTTTGGTAACCATCACAACAATAAATTTTTTTTCATCGATATTATACTCTGTCAATGGCTGATCATCAACTAAAATTTTACCTAAACCCCAAAAGTATAATTCAAATGAATTGTTGTTATTTTTAATATTTTAAAAATATACTTTTCATACTAAACTAAAATGAGTATTTGTGAAATATCTCAATTGAAATGAATAAAACTATTAGACAGCAAAATTGAATCAAATGAAGAGGTTAGATCCAATAATTTACCAGCATATATTAATTTCTGATGTTGAGCAGCAAAACCTTTCTCTTTTTCAATTTTATCTTTGAGGTCTTTCACCTGAAAATATGAAATATTTTAAAACATAAGTCAATGAATAATTGTATGTAAATTATCATTTTTAAAACATTAAATACCGTCTTAGATGGATCAATTTCTATAGTGAACGTTTGTTGCTGTAAATTTTTTAATGTAATAATCATTTTGAATTATTTCAGGTTATATTGCAAATTTTTAACACCCGGTATTCCAATAATCTCACTGCTCCAAAACGAAAAAGAATATTTTTGAAAACTAAATGTATTAATATTCGAACGGGCAAAATTTTAATAATAAAAAAAGATTGTTGCAATGAGTCGGCACTGAAAAAACTATAGCAGTCTGTCGTAAAGTGTGAATTTTGGCATCAATTCCTTATTTTTTAATCGCAATTCAAGCTGGATTGTGAATATTTCCAACGATGCATAAATTCCTAACGTTTGTGGGGTTGGTACTGGAATCAACGAATGTATAACAGGAATAAATAGACTGCTTATAAAATTATTTAAAATATAAATACAGCTTTAAGAAGAAGTAAATTAATTAATTTATATCTTGAAATAATTTTTTATTAATTAACTACTGATTAATCTAACATATAAATCTAACAATAATAAAATAAATTCATTTTATCTACAAATAAAACCGTTCAAGAATTGCGATACCAACCTAATTTAATTTTAGTTTAGTTATTGCCCTTCTTTATAGAGGGCACCTCTATTCTTTCGATATCTCGAATTTTTCGATTTTCACATATCGAGCGCCATTTTGATTACTTCTTGTACACTATACCAGAGAATAGGGAAGTCTCTTCATCTCACACATCTCACACATCTCACACATCTCTATTCTCTGACTATACGTATTGTACATTTGGTGTTTACTTGTATGCGTACTGTGTATTGTCATACGAGTGTTACTGTCAGAAAACATTAATTATTTGAATATTTTTCATAAAACAATTTACAAATCGTCAATATAAGTTATTCATAATCATCATAATCATGGATGATTTACAAAATTATAAACTGCAGCTTCAACAGGTAAAGTTAAATTGTTTGCTAATCTTGCGCACATAACCTCAAAACTTGATGCAAATAAAACCAAGTAGTTGAAAATACACTACGAGTATTAAATTTATCTTGTATCCATATATTAATATGTTTTATCTTTATAATAGGTTGAAGCTGCTTTAACAACAGATCCTTCAAATGAAGAACTGTTGAAATTGAAAATAGATTTAGAAGAAGTCATTGAGCTCACTCATGATTTAATCAAGTCTCAACAACAAGAAAAACGGCAAGCCAATGGCATGGATCCTAAAGATCCAATCTTACTTGCTGTATTAGCTAATAAATGGAAAGTTGGAGATCAATGTATGGCTCCCTGGAGCGAGGATGGAAAGTGAGTAACTCAATTCAATTTAACTTATTCCAATCTATCTACTTACTATTTTATCATTAATTATTCTTTTAATATTAGTTTTAATTATTATTAATCACATTATTGTTTCAAATTTCAGATATTATGAAGCAACAATTGATGCGATAAATGAAGATGGAGTCGTTAATGTTACTTTTAACGAGTTCAAAAATACTGATGTTACGATGCTTAATCAATTAAAATCAGTTGCTAAGAGGCCAGCATCTGATTGGGCTGATCAAAAATCAAAGTAAGTTTGTTAATTTATTATTTCTTATTATAAATTATTCTGAAATTAATAATTAGGATTGACTATAATTTATAATTAATGTTATTTCTTTTAATAACAAAATAATATCCTATCCAACACTTATTAATCCTAAACATTTTTTTCTTCTTCGTCCATTGTCTTCTGTTGCATCGAATTCAACGGTTGTAACGGTACAATTTTTTTAAAACCCATCATTGTCCTTGAATACCATCAAAATAATCATAAAGAAAGAGGTAAATCTAATTTCATAAGTTATTTACAGCACAAAATAATTGTAATCACATTTATTGTATGTTGTCTTAGATAAAATTATTTATATGCGCCCATATTTTTTCAATATAAATAATACATATTAGTATAAAGAAATTAAATCATTTTCCAGAAAAATGCAAGCAGCAGCAGCTGGTGCCGATCCAAATAAACAACGCGAATATTTAAAAAAGAAAAAACAAAGAAAATTGCAACGGTTTAAAGAGCTAGAAGAAGAACGTGAACAAGAAAAAAATAAATGGCTCGCATTTACTACAAAGGTAAAAAAATTTTCTTAATTATTTATTATTATAATTGAATAATTAATATTAACATAGAATATATTTATTTCAGTCTGCCAAAAAGGGGGTTACGAAAAAAAGTATTTTTGCTACACCAGAAAATGTAAATGGTCGAGTAGGAATTGGAACTTGTGGAGTTAGTGGACGAGAAATGACTAAATTTAGTAACGGAGAAAAATGGAGACGTGGAGCTTAACTATTGTAAATATACGGATAAAATACTATAAATCAATAACAGATTACAAATTATTGCATTAATAATAATTGTTATATATAAGCACATTATTTGTGCTAAAGACTTTTTGTTGAGATATTTAAGAGCTAAATATCGTAAACAAATCCTAAATAGCTCTTTCTTATAATGTAAACTATTGTTAGCTACAATCATTCGTGGCCAGTAGCCACTTAGATTATCAAATTGTAGAGTAGTCAATCCATTTCATTTGCCACAAAAATGATGATTAAACCCATTTTGGGTTCCTGTATAAAAAATATTAATGAGTTAACGATTTTTTTAGATTAAATTATATGATTGTGAATGTTTGATGTATTGGATGTAAGAGTGAAGTGTAAACTGTATAATTAATTCGATTTAAATTTATTTGTATTTACTAGTCTAGATGACTTATTGGTATCAATAAATATTTCTATTTTAAACGTTAATTATTTTTTTTTTACCTCTTAAATTCTCATTTATTTATTTTTCGTTATTTATCTTTCGTTCTGATACTTTCTAGTATTTTTCTTATACTTTATCACTAAAAAATGACAATTTTAATAAATGAAAACATCATTATTTCATAAATGTATGAATAAAAATATGGAATACACTCACTATACCCATATGTGTGTATATTTACTCACGTAACAGTAAATTCAATATGACTGTGACGAGATGACAATTCAAATAAAATGCGTAAGTCTTAATTTTGACATTTATTTATCATCAAACACGTAGCATAATCTGAATGTGCAAGTATCATCTTCAATGGACAACTGTAAAAATAAAAAAAATACAGATTATCAGTGATATACATGCAATCTAATATTTTTCTAACCTACAATTGATTCTAAATATTAAAAGTATTTTTCTTTATTATTGAACTGTTTATTAATATTCACATTATCCACAGCAGCAATAATTTTTTTTAATCATTAACTTTTTAATGACGTGAATAATTTTAAAAAAATGAGTTCAAATCAAGAAGATGTTCGAGTGAGAAATGGTGTTGAAAGAAGAGAAGTTGATTGGACTGGATATGGTTTAGGAAATCATGATAATCCTAGACATACACAAAGAGATGATGTAAATAATTGTAATGATTTTGTATCTAATATATATCCATCTGGAGCTAATGAGTTATATGCACAAGAATATGTAAGTAATTCTCTCATTATTAACTTATGGTACATCAAAAAAAATCTTGATAGCATTAAAAAACTATTAATGATGCCTATTATACAATATGTATCATGTTTCTTAATAATTTTCGCTATAGAATGCTGATCCTTGGTGGAAATCTAATTTTTTTATTTCCCAACCAGTACTTTTTGGTACATGGGACGGAGTATTTACTTCTTGTCTTATCAATATTTTTGGAGTTATTGTTTTCTTACGATCTGGATGGATTGTTGGGCAAGCAGGTGCTTTAAATGCTGTTGTAATTATTTTATCTACTGGTAAATAATTTAAATAAATTATTTATTTTCTTCATTATCAATTTGAATTATAATGCTAATTAATTTTTTTTTAACTGTAGTATGTGTAGCATTAGTAACAGTTCTTTCTGCAGTTGGAATATGCGAAAGATGTAGAGTAGAAAGCGGAGGCGTATATTTTTTACTTTCACATGTTCTTGGATCTAGATTTGGTGGATCTATTGGATTATTATACTGTTTCGGTCAGGTAAAGTCTTCACACTATTCGATTGTTATTGATTCATAAAATTATGATTTTAATCTCAATTATTTTTTAAATATATATTCAGGCGGTTGGGTGTGCACTAAATGTCTTAGGATTTGGTGAATCCATGGCTGGATTGGTTGGTTTAGAAACTGCTTGGGCTCAAAGAGGATTCGCTTCAGCCGCAGTTATTCTTTTGTCTGTCATTAATATTGCTGGTGTAAAATGGGTTATAAAACTGCAATTTATTCTCCTATTAATATTATTACTTGCTGGCGCTGATTTTATCATTGGAAGTTTCACTCACGTCGATCCTGGTAATAATGATCATTATTTATTTAATTGTTATACAATTATGACAATTATTGTTGCCGAGCTATTTTTATATAGTTTTTACGTAAAGTTAAATAATGATTCTATATTTTCTTTTGTTCATTTAGATGCTGGTTTTAAAGGATGGCTGTCGGAAAATTTGAAAAATAATACATTTCCAGCATATCAAGACAAATACGGTTGGTTTGAGGTTTTTGGAGTATTTTTTCCGACAGTAACTGGAGTACTGGCTGGCATAAATATGAGCGGTGACTTACGTCATCCCTCAAAGGACATTCCCAATGGAACTTTGGCTGCCCTGGGAACTGGGTAAACTTTGATACAAATTCAAATATATCAGAGAAACTTTTAAAAATATTTATTCATAAAAATATTACTTATCACTTTTCAGAGCTATTCTTTACCTTATATTCTCCCTGTTTCTTGCTGCCACATGTACGAGAGCTGCATTACTAAATAATTTCATGATCGCATCAACTGTTTCTGCATTTTCTGTATTACTTCTTGCTGGTCTCTACGTTTCATCATTCAGCAGTTGCTTAGGTGCGATGTATGGTACTCCACGGGTATTGCAATCGATCGCAGGTCAAAATGTAATTCCTGGAATAAGTTGTTTACAACGAGGTAGAGGACCGAATAAAGTACCTATTTATGCGATGATTGTTGTTGCAACTGTTACATTAACGTTTATTTTCATTGGAAAAATCAATACACTTGCTCCTATTGTTACTATGCCATTTTTATTAACATATGCTTGTATGGATTATGCGTATTTTGCTCTTGCACAAACTTTTGATCTTCAGCATACAAGAGAACAAAGATTTAGAACTCAAACACCTACCTTTGAACGTAATTATGGCTCTGCTGGAAATAATGATAGCATCTGTGATGTTGATAATGATTTAGATTCTCTCTTTCCCGAAAGAACAAGACATAAACAACTAATGGTAAGATATTTAATGATACAAAAGACTGAAAAAAATTTTTTTCATTCATGCATTAATATTTTTTGAAACGTAAAAATAATTAAGGATAATTAATTATTAAAGATCTATATTATAGATGATTGCTGAAATATTTATTAAACGATCAATTAATATTAATGCTTGTAATAGTTCTCCAATAACTAGAATTAAGAAAAAGAAAAATTGAATTGTGAAGAATAAAAATTTTATAGAGAAATTCGAGCATATCAGATAGTACCGGAAATGCTGATTCATCGCCTAGTATTGAAGAAAATGGAAGTATTGACGGAGCAATAAAGAAGCCACATATCCATGGGAAATTAGGAAATTGGTATAGTCCTCTTTGCAATCGATGGTTTTCACTATTGGGGGTAAGTCGAAGCTCCTATTAATTTCTTATCCTTTATCTTTTTTTATTATAAATTTACAACAATGATTAATTGATAAGTTTATCATATCGATTTTGTTTATGTTGACTATTTTATCAGGCTCTAGTAAAGCTGTTGATAATGTTTTTGGTCCATTGGGGCTATGCGATAGCAAACATAGTGGTAGTATTTCTTGTCTGGAGTTACGTAGGTCATGCGAATCCTGCCGTAAAACCAGGAGTATCAGCTGAGTTTAAACTCTTTGAATGGCTAAGAAATGTTATTCTTAAACTTATGGGACGTAAAGTTTATAATTATGAACAAATTGTTGTAACACCGATTCCACCTGGAGTCGAAACATCATCATCCCAATTAAATGAAGAAAATGAAGACTTTGCCGGACGTAGAAGATATCATCAAACTGCCACTGTGACAGGTCAATATGTCAATGTTGACTGAAATTTATAGTGAAGAAATATTTTAAAAAATTACAAATAATGATAAATCAGAAAATTACAATTATGTATAATTTTAATGAGATTACTTCATGGTTGCACTCAGACTGATAAATGCATTAACTTAATTAACATTTTTTACCATTTTACTAAGGAATAACAGAGTCATACAACTCATGAATAATCAATAGTTATACCTGATAGTAATATAATAATTTATAATATTTAATGGAATATAAAAATGGGAAATATTTATTGTCTTTAATTTATTTAATATACTTGATTAAAAAAAATCATTAAATTCAGAATAAAAAGCCTATGTGGATCAAATAATATTTAAAATATTACAATTTATATCAATAAATGTTTTGTAAATAATATTTATCATTCTCGTGTACTTTTCATATCATTTTAATTTTCAGTACATTATCAACCATTGTTTATTTTTGCTATAAAGACAAAATAATATAAATTATTCATTACAAAAAAAAAAACATTGTAACATAACAATAATTACTGATTCAATATTAGCGATTTAAAAACTTGGACATGTTACTAATAAAATGTTAACAAAGATTTTATCTGTCATTATAATAGTTTATAATTTTATAACAATTTAAACAAGGAAATAAATTTTTTTTACTTAAAAATGAATTTGTTTGATATCCAGTTGATTAGATTAGTCGTATTATTGTTGTCATTTTATCGCATTGTCTCAGCTCATCTCAGGGTCTATTTACAGACTAATGTAGTGGTATATGATAAAATATCTTTTATTTGTTTTATATAAAACGAGCGCTTGCGCGTATATACAAATATATCTATATATATAAAGAAGGGTAAACCGCTCTGGTTAACCACGAGATCACCACCTTTGCCACTGGCACCAAACTACCTCACTATCTATTATTCTCCTTGAAGGAGTTTCGTCTCAAGTTTGGATATTTTTTTAAACATTTATCCAATATAATCTATCATTTTTTAAAACTTTAATTAAATTTTATGAAGAAACATTTAATACTTATTTTTTTTTAATTTCTATATTTAGTTTCAATTTCATAAATAAATGTTTTTTTAATTTAATTATCCATTTATTTCTACTGATAATACAAGTTAACAACATCATGATATTTCTCAAATATTTACTCTATTTAAATTTATAAATTTCTCATCAGTTTCTATTTTTTGTCATCAAACTGATTAAATTTTATTTTTCTTTAATTACTTTTTCCATTTCAATAAATTATCTATGACAACTGTATAGAACAACAATAAATTGCAAAAAACGATTATTTTAATGAATTGCAATGTTCAATGTTGATTTTAATTTCACATAAAAGTTTCTTATTTATATTTAATTTCTGTATGTGATTTTGATACCATCAGTTATTGATATTTAACAACAAGCTTCCTTCAAAATAATGAAAAAATATTTCTACTCAAGTAGTAGAGAAAAAAGAATGAAATTTTGATATCAATGAAAGATACGTAGTCATGAATATTTATTGCAAGTTATTGATGATACAGTTTAGGGATAGGGATAGGTCGGTGGCTGGTGATGGTTTTTGAGAGAGGAAGAGCGAATGAGCGTACGACAGAGGATTGAGGTGATGCGGAGCTACTAGTGGTGGTAGATACAGGGATGGTTGTATCAAGTGCTGGTGGGGTTGATGGTCCAAGCTTTCGTGGCGAAACTTCAGTGCGCGACCAGCCATCGACGTGCGTTCATGACCGGAGCTCCAGCGGAGGCTGCGAGAGCTGAAAGTGTTGGTGAGAGAAAAAAATAATTTTTTCTTTGTTTTTTTTTTTTAAATTATTTTTATCAATTATATCCATTATTGACTGTATCTATAATAAAAAATATTTATTTATTAACTAATAATAATGATATTTTAATTGAAAAATAGTAATAAAATAAAATAGTGTGAGATGAAATAATTCAAGTTCATAGTTGTAAAAGGAAAAAAAAAATTAATATTATTTTTCCTGTGATAGACGTTGCAATTTCCCACGTGGCAAGTCAATTGGTGGAGTTTGAGTATTAGTAAGTTGTGAAAGTTGAGATTATGAAGTTTTCTTGTAAAGTTGTAAAACAAATACCGGCTTCTTCTACTTCTACACGAATGTGTTGATTGGATAATCGTACCCAAGTTACTTAACAATTTATTGCATGATTTTTTGAAATTTTTTGCATCAGAAAAATATGTGGAAAAAATATTCTTTATACAAACAAGTGTCGTGAAGTTTTTTTTATTAAACTTTTTTTTTTATTTTTGGAACAAAAAATTTCATATGCTTTTCAATCAATCACTCTCTTCACAGTTTAAAACCATCTTTATTATTCTTTAGAAAATCATTAATTCATATTTTGAAAATGTTTTATTTAAATAAAAATACAGAGAGATCAAACTAAACAATGAATAAATAAATACAATAAATATAAAATTTCCTCGATAATAACTTAAGAAAAATAAAAATTTTTTTTAACAACAAATACAATCAATTAATGATTTTTATCACTTTATTTATTATTAAAATTAAATTGTCCCTTTAAAACAAAAACTTTTCAGATCAATGATTCTGTCAAAATAATAGAAAAAAAAGCTGAATCTATCAAAATGAGTTTCATTTATTTGAGTATTCAACGAAAGGATAATACATCCATCAAAAAGCTATTTTATTAAACGAAAAATTTTCACAGAGGTTTCGAGCTTTATCAAAGTGTATATACAGTTGCTAATGGATGTAATTTGATTCATAGATATCATTAAAATTGATAGAATAATTGAAAAAAAATGTAAAATTGTAGTTAAGTGATTGCTACCTGATGAGATGAACGAAAACTTTATAATAACACTCGAGTAAAATAGTAGTAGGAGGTTGAACTGAGTAGTACTAGCAGTATACCGTGTCTGGTGGGTTCATGAATGAACGACCACTTTCTACTCTCTCGCGTTGGCCACTAATGGGCTTCCTTTCTCACGTAGAATCATTTATTTTTCCAACCACTTGCCAACCACTGTAATTTATCCGTGAATTTTTTATTTCTGCATCAAAAATTCGCCACTCATATACATATTGAGACATTATTTCATTTTTCAGCTTCTCAAAGGATACTTTTGAGTAACACACGAAACCTCACACATATAAAGATAGATATTTTATAACGATTGTAGGCAACTTTTACTCATCATAAAAATTCAATTGTGAATAGTTTGAGCTTTCATTTCTCTTCGCTCACCTAACATTAACGACTTTCCACTGGCAAAAAGAAAGCATTCATTCGGTAATTCAAGAAAAGGGGTTCTTTCTTTTACGGCTTTGTCTAATTTCGCTTTTTTGTAAAGCAAATTATTTGATCAGATATTTAGATTGACCAAAAAATCTTTTCTATTAGAATTTAATTGATTTCATTCACTCACTAGATTATATTTTAATTATTTTCCAAAGTTTTCTTAATTTTATGACAATTTGAATTGAAAAATATTGATGTAGAAATGGATGATAAAAATTTTTTCTCTGAATATATTTGAAGGTTTAAATGATTTTATCGACTTTTTGTGTACATAAATTAACCAGTTTTTTTTTATCACAGTTGTTTAAGAATTTATGTATAAAAGTACAGACTGTGATATTCGTTTTTGGGATTAAACGTGGAGCTTTTATCGACCAATATCTTTAAAACGTGACATGATATAATATTTTTACTACCTCTTTCATTCTCAGCATATCCAAATATATTTCATATCGATTGTATAACGAATTCTTGCTAAATAATGATTGTTGTTTTTTTTTAAAAAAAAAAAAAAGGAAAAAAGCAAACAAACGAAATGCAAATTTTTGACAGCACAATAAGAGATGAATTTTTTTAGTTGAATAATTAAAGTAGTAAATTTTTATTTTATTTTTGGAGTATTTATGGAGGAGAATTTAATTAAAACTGGAAAATAAATGTTGATATTTCATTTATTTTTCACACTTGGATAAGACGAAAAATCTTGATTTACCTTCGGGAAAGTAAGAAAAATAAAAAGGCTGATCTCGTCTACAGCAATTAACGTGGCTGCACATATAACGTTAAGGGGTAGATTTACAGTGAGGTCATAGGGTCATCTGTCTCTCTTTACTTTTCCTGTCGACTCTTCACCCTGTTGACAGCCTTCCGGCCTAACTTCACCCGCTTTTCCGTTGATTAAAAGTGTTTGGGTGTAAAAGTTGGCGTATCTGAAAGCAATTCAAGCTATCTCTTCGTTATCTCAAGCTTCTACTCTATTTAATGTTCATGGAATACTTGGGTTTACGGAGCTATTCCCTCTGGATCTTGTTCGTTTTAGCATTTAGACAGATCAAGTACATCGTCATTAAGGCCAATAATTAAACTTGATATTATACCTTCGATTTTTATGATAATGAATTTCTGTTACGCTACTGTTTATTCGCTCTAAAATTTTCGGTTTTTATTGAAGCTTTAAAATTGTTACGCTCGGCTTTAATGAGTTTAATCAACATTTTTAGGATCAATAAAATTGGCTATAAAATTCGTATTTCTATTTTCGTAGCTTTCCAATTGCCTATTTGATAACCGAAAAAATTTCATTTTCATCATTTTTAAATTATTAATTAATGTTGTAAATAATTAAAATATTTTAATTAGCTTTAATTTTGTTGTTATTTTTTTTTAAAAAAAAAGGTTTTTAAAAAAATGATTATGTAGTGTGCTTTTAATTGGCTTTTGACTTTAATTAATACATTGGCAATGAAAAAATTAATTACAGTGAATGAGTTTATGAGAATATTTCAAATTTTAAAAGTCATTTGAGAAAGATTTACATATTAATAGACTAAAAAAAAAATTTACTGTAAACGAGTGATATTCTTTTTAACTCACATAATCAAAGTTGAATAGTCACATTAAAAATTTTTTTATTGGTTACTTAAAATAATAAAAAAATAATTTATTAAAAAAATACATTTTTAATATGCTCGATTATTTTGAATATAATTATCTGAGTATTAATTTATTCCAGTGTTTCATTTAATTGATCTTTTTTTTCCAAGATCCATAGTGTCTCACTGCAAATCCTAAGATTTCACAAACGTGTTAAAATAACACGCAAGTTTCAATTAAATAACAAATAATATTTAAATTTCTGTAATTAATCTTTCACATTTCTATAGCTTTTGATTAATTCTGAAAGCAAACGTTTTTTTCTTTAAAGGAATTTACTCCAGGAAAAATAATTCAATAAATACATAAAATATAATAGATAATTTAAAAAGGAGTTGGAAAACATTCAAATTTCCTCCACAACATTTAATTTCCTTTCAAATGTGTCTACATGAATTCTATAAAGGCTCGTGTGAAGTTTCAGACATACATGTCACGTAGGTAAAAGCTAAAGGAAATAAGCAACACTGCTTTGGTAAATATTTAAATAATTCTGTCGCATTCAAGTCTTTAAATGTGCGGCAAATAAATAGAGTGTAGCTTCAAAAGAAGAGGTAGACAAAGAGGGAGTAAAAAAATCGGTTGTGCTTAGTGTGTCTAATCTAGTTAGCCAAGCCTTATTAATTGGCGGGATTAATCGAGAATGCTTGATGGGAAACTGGTAGGTGGGGTGGTGATTAAAAGCGAAAAAGATTGCATCGGTCAGCATGATTTTATCAGGTTTGCCATGAATAGAACCTCGGCTTTATAGGAAAAAGAATAAAAAAATGGATAAAAAAAAATTAAGTAATTTTTTGAATTTATTGGATCTCCAACATATCTCACCTTTCTACTTCTTAAATGAGATTATCATCAACATTTTAGTAATTACTGGGAATGAAAGTAAAAATGTTAATTGTTTAATTGAGATTGTTACAAATAAAAAAAACCGCATTTTAAAGCCAATTATTCTAATATGAATCACATGAAAATTGTTACTTGCATCTTTAACCTTTGATTGTGGTAGAAAATGGTATTGAAAGGTTAAAATTTTTATCGACTCAACTTGTTCCAAGAGTAGCAAACTTTTTCCAGTATCCATTATGTAACTTCTATTGGTGTATTTTTACACTACAACCTAGAATATATGCTGGTAAACACGCATAAAAGGTGTTTAATGTTAAATACAAAAACACTTGAGAGTATTCTATTTTAATATACTTGGACTTGAGCTATATTTTCAGCAAACTTTTCCACTTAATATTCTCACTCTATTTCGAATAATTATAAAGACTATTTTAATTAAAAATGATTGTATAAAAAAATGATGTTGATGAATAAATGAATAGATTTGTCATTTCTGATTAAAATATGATTGTTAGAAGATAATGATAGAAATCAAAAGAGATTGGTTTGGTCAGTTTCATGAAGGATACCATGAATAGAATTCCTGTTGTGGGGTGGTAGGAGAGAATGGATGGATGATGGTAATAAGGACACTTATAAACATGAGTAAGCAATAATTGAAGCTTATATGGGTTGGTTGTTGAACCTTCTGTATATGTTCATTGCTCTTGATGATATTCGTTGGATGTGGGAAATTCTGTATAGCATACCAGAGAGATCAAGTGTCTCTTTGCCATCTCTTCACCCTCATACACCCTAGTCTGTCATGGATTTAGAGCGTTTGCGCGATCCGTTTGCCCACTCTCTCACTCGGTATATTACGTACATATAGACTCTTCGAAGAGATTTGGCGTCTCCATTCGAAGCGTGAAATCGTCCGGCGCTGCATTTTTCTACTTCCATCTTTCTTCTTCTTCCTTCCTCTTTACTTCCTGGA